TTTAAACAAAAATTGGCTAAGTTTCTTATTTTACAGATATTAATGGCATGTATTTCTCTGTTTTTATTAAGAATATGTTTAATAAATTTCAATTTTGCCATCTTTCTATTAATTATATTAGTGATCATTCAAAAATTGAAATGATCATTTAGCCTTTATAATATGCATGCAATTTCTTTTGTTTTATTTTGAAATGCTGCCAACATGATCAGATATGTCTAAAGTAGTAGGCTAGACAAATCCGACTGAGAACCGGTTCGACTGATTCAATTATCCGACTCATAAGAACGATTCACGAAACTGTCATCACTTATTTATAGCCGCTTTTGGACCGAAAACTGGTGCACTATTAAGGTTATATTAACGACAGGAAAACAATTAACTTCTAAGGCGTTTTGTTCTTGAGGGTGTTGTAACTAAGCGACGCCTTATGGATGAGAGATGAACTATGAGCTTCCATAAATACTAAAGTACGAGTCGCTATAAAGGTGAGTGAACTCAGCTAGTCCAAGAATAGACTGTGCTGTTTCCTTTCTTAGTTAATACAACCAAAGAGCATTACGAATTATTGGTGCAAACAATTTGACCAATGACAACGTGAAATATAGTCTATGTGTTTGTGTATGTGATAAAAGAAAAAGACAAGGAATTTGAAGTACAGCACTGGATATCCGACTCTTCAAAATGGCAAAAGAAGAAGAAAACCCTGAGTGGGTTGGTGGTCAAGAATTTTACGACAATATAAATCAAAGGAGATATTAGGACGGTAAGTGTCACCTATCTTGATAAGGTTTGTGTCTGGAAAAAGTAATAAATATCTATAAAGATCAAATTGTAACATTAAAATTACATTATAAGTCCTGAATTTGTCCGAGTCTCTTCTTTTCCAGAGGTGTGAGCAGTGTAGTTCGCCGATGTGTGGACAAACGGACTGGCCAGGAATATGCAGTAAAGATCATAGATATCACACCATCGGATAAAATGACACCTCAAGAGATACAGGAAATCCAGCGGGCCACTGTGAAAGAGATCGACATTCTTCGAAAAGTGTCTGGACAAAAAAAACATAAGTATGACTGTCCACTGCCAGTTCGATCCATTAGCAACTTTTCCAATACATATACCACAAAATATAACCTAATATGATGGTGCTACGATACAGAAATATAATATCTTTTAAGAAATTCAATTTCTTTTTTTCTTTTCAAAAATAAAAGTGGTAAGGCTATGGTGTTTTTGCAACAACAAATCCGATGTCTTTTCCCCCCCTCATAGTTCAGCTGAAGGATTGCTTTGAATCCTTTATGCAAAAGAAATTCAATTTCTTTTTGAATTACAAAAATAAAAATGGTAAGGCTATGGTGTTTTTGCAACAACAACAAATCCGATGTCTTTTCCCCCCTCATAGTTCAGCTGAAGGATTGCTTTGAATCAAAGGCCTTCTTCTTTTTGGTATTTGATCTGTAAGTATGGCTTCAATCTCTTTTAATGGCACACACAGCTCTCATGTCTGTGGATCACTATTGTTTGTGGTCACATAGACTTGAGAAACCCATGACAAACTTTTAGCCGTCACCCTCAGAACTATTTAATTGTGGCTGCAATTTTTTTGCATAGGCAAACCACTCAAATTTAGCATAGAAAATGTAAAAATTAAGTTTTATCCTCATTTTCCTGGTAGCCCATTTTCACCACTAACTGTTGTTTTGTTTACAAGTTTGCTTTCTATTCAGATTTCTAGATGTTCCCTGTGGAGATTATCGGTTGGTTGACACTCCGCAGAATACAGATAAGACACGGGCTATTCTAAGAGCCCACAATATGGCTCATTGCCAAGATGCCAAGTTTCTGCCAGAGCCTAACTCTCAATACAAACGTGCACAAAATCCCTCCAGATTTCTTCTTTTGACACTTATATTTTGAACAGATGCAGTTACAATTGTATGTCTGTAATGTGCCAATTGTACATCACCAGACTAACTGGTAATAAGTCTGATGATAACCAGTTTTCGATGCTCCTGATTGTATTTAAATTGTGAAAAACAAATCCTATGCTGAAGAGAGGATTGTATAATCAAACCGTTTAAGTTGTTTCCAACAACAGCGGGGCATCTTGAGTGTTGATGGGTTTAAAGTTAGGTCACGGGCCACGGCACACTACCATGAATAAATACATAAATGTAGTGCTCTGTCTACTTTTATGAATTGTATGAACTTTTGTTAAATGTATCAGTTTTCCAGAAAAAAATTCTGGCCAAAAAACGAGCCCATAATCCATAATAAAGCTTTCTCCCGTGAAAAAGTCCATTCCCTGTTGTCTTCTCGCATTTAGAACTGTTTTGAACTGTATCCTACAGAAAATTAACATGTGGCCTAGAAAAATATTGCATTAACAAATAAGCCAACCAAATAAATAAATACATTAACTTCCTGGCAGTGACAGTGAACCAGTAGAATATGAAACGATTACAACAAACTAGTATGTTTAGCAGATGAATGTGATGTTACATAACCTTCTTTCTGTCTGTTCTTGTGCAGTTGGAGCGCAGGCGTGATCTTCTACACTCTTTTGGCTGGATCTCCACCTTTCTGGCACAGGAAACAAATGCTGATGCTTCGAATGATTCTTGCAAAAAAATACGAATTCAGTTCTCCGGAGTGGGATGACCGCTCGGACACTGTCAAAGACTTGGTGCGAGTCGGTTGTGGTCTTGTTTGTCTTCCCGACAACTAGTTTGAAAAGTAGTTACGCAAAATTGTATGAGAAAATGCCTTTTCAAAGTCACCTTGTTTTCTTCCCAGCAGATTTCCAGGTTATTAGTTGTGGACCCACAAAGTCGTTATACAGCGACAGAAGCCCTCAATCACCCGTTCTTCCAGCAGTACGTGGATGCAGAAGTACGGCATTTCAGCCCTTACAGGATGCTCAAGGTAAAGAGCAGATGTTCTAGATGACTTCTTTAAGAAGGCATAGATTTTGAGGTTTTGAGTTTCACCATACACCATTGTTATCCTGCAGGTTATTTGTATGACCGTACTTGCCGCCATGCGTATCTACTGCAACTATCGTCGTGCCAAACCTGTCACCAAGGAAGTGATCTGCAGTGACCCATATGCCATCAAACCTCTACGCAAGATGATCGACGCATGCGCCTTCAAGATCTACGGCCACTGGGTGAAGAAAGGGCCAACTCAGAACAGAGCAGCTTTATTTGAGAACACTCCAAAAGTCATGCTCTCCATTGCAGCTGAGGAGATGGATGTGTCACCCAGGACTTGGTGAGGGGTCATCATCTCTGAATAATCCCAGATAGCACAATTTACCTCAAGAACATGTTGATAACAGTCCAAAAATACACCTCTACTGCTATGACGGATTATTTCCACCTTATTTACACAGTGAAAAGGAAATAATATTGTTAAAAATGTACAATTGAGATCCAAACTATTTAATGTGTGGTATTATTTAATACAATTACATTTTTATTCTATTTTAAATATATGATGTTGCTTAAATTTTTTATCTAAATGAATTTAATGACCATAAAGAAAGGCTAAAAAAAATAAAGAAAACTTTAAGATTGGTTGTTAAGATTTTAATTTCACAGTATTTTGTGTAAAAAACAAAACAGATATAACACTGAATTCCAGAAGTTTGTGTCTCCACAGGAGAAATGTAGTATCCCTCCAATAATGCACCACTGGCATCAACTAGTCTTGAACATTCGGCTCTTAAAGCTCAGTTCTTTTCTGTTTTGCATTTGAGCTCATAGCACAGCGGAAGCCCAGGTTATCAGAGGCCGAATCTGGTGTGTTTCCCATCCTGCATGTGAGAACATAAAAACACAAGTTTTTATTTATCATATTCTCATAAACTGTTTTGGACAATCCAGACACGTTTGGGGTCAGCTGCCTGGAAATGTTACAAGAAGCAATTGTATAATGAATAATAAAAGCCTTATAAAAGTTGACTTTGAATAATATGAATGTAGCAGGATGGAGCATGACTGACCTAGTGGTGACACGAGCTCTGTGATTGGCCGAGCCATCGGCTGTGTCGATCCAGGATGCTCCGCGCAGGACGTACATGGTCTGAGCACCAGGAAATCGTGAGGAGGTCCACTCCCAGACATTACCCAGCATGTCATATAGTCCTGGAACAAGGTGGGATATTATTCTCTAAATTCAGAACAATAGTGAAAGAGTTACACTGCCGTTCAAAAGTTTGAGGTCTTTCTATTCATCAAAAACTCCTGAAAAGAAATGTATCACAATTTCCACAAAAATATTAAGCAACTGTTTTCAACTTTAATAATAATGCTTCTTGAGCACCAAATCAATATATTAGAATGATTTCTGAAGGATCATGTGACACTAAAGACTTGAGTAATGACTGCTGCCATCACGGAAATAAATTACATTTTAAAATATTTTTAAATAGAAAATATTTATTTTAAATTGTAATAGTATTTCACAATATATTACTATTGTACTGTACTTTTGATCAAATAAATGCAGCCTTGGTGAGCATAATAGATTAAAAACATTTTAAAAAATCTTACCAACCCCAAACTTTTGAATGTAGATATTCTAGGAAGCTTTGTCTCCGTCTATGAATTATGTTGTTGATAAAATGTGACACACCATCAGTACAGTGTGTGATACCATACTGTATATACTACATTACCATAGTTATTCTGTGGAGGATAGGCAGTTACAGGAGCTACACCATGATAACCATCTTCTGCAGCGTCCCTATCTGGAAATGGGCCCTTTGTACAAAGAACAAAGACTTTACAATTACCAACAGCTAAACAACTTTATAACTGTCTTGAAGGAAAAAATACACATTTTCCCACCTGCTATGGACAAGAATGTACCTCAACTGACCTGCCACAGGTTAGTCTGGTTCAGTAAGAACTTGTTGCCCCATGGATAGGTCCTGCCTGAAATACAAAAATGTGCTGGCTATGATGACTGCATAAAATGAAGTAAAACAGGTGGACAATACTGCATGACAAAGAGTAAGACTGCAGTTTTTAGGTGCTGTGAGGCATAAGGCTTTTTTGGCTTGCCTCCAAACCTCCACGTGCAGCCATTTCCCACTCTTCCTCAGTTGGCAGCCTTTTCTTCTTCCACTGACAGTAGGTTTGGGCATCATTCCAGCTGACCTGCACCACAGGGGATTCCAGTCTGTCCTTGATACCAGAGCCTGGTCCTGCCGGCTGCACACATCAAAACCAGAGAGCCCAGACATTCATACAGTCAAAATAAATAATGTGACTTATTAATTAAATAAATAACCATTTTAAAATGTATAAAGAAATAAATTATGAATTAAATTTACAACATCAAAATAATTTATTTACTAATTTATTTGATTTATAAATTAATAAATGCAAATATATATATATATATATACACACGCACACACACAATACTGGTTGACCACTGATTAAAGTCATTTATACACTTCTAGAACTAATCATACATAAAGTGTTAACTGTGTCACCTGTCTCCAGAACACTTTCTCGACTGGTAACCACCAAGGAGCCGACTAGGAAAGAAGAAATGGGACATTTTCAAGAGAACAAAGGGTTTAAGAGAAAATCTAGTCTAAAAGACAGTGTTTAGATTAATGTCAATTACCCTTTAACACTCTGAAAACAAGACACAAGAAATAGACAATTTAGGACATAATTGACCGGTAGATTTTGTTTGTTTATGCTCTTGCTTTGGGTTCATACCTCAATTTTCTGAGTGACCTTACTTTTCAGTTCATCTGACACAAAATCCTGGAACACAAAACTCCAACCGAACTTTTCAGCTTCTGTTTTATATTTCTGCTGTCTGACAAATTCCCTGGAATGAACAGAAGCAGTTGTATCAGGCCAGTAAGAAGATATACAAGCAGTAGGAGGACAAAGTAGGTTTTGAGCCAATATCTACAATGGCAAGTACCTGAAGTCAGAGTTAGTGACGGGATACTTGTCTATCTTAAATGGCTGGAGAGTCACAGCTCCTGTTGGTGATTCCCCATCTCTCCCATCAGCAGCACTGGTTCCCATCGTCATTTTCCCACCAGGAATAAACACCATCTCATCAACTGCCAAAACAAAGTGTTATTTATCTTAAACAAAGTGTCTACTTACAGCAAATGGTTGTTTCAGGGCCTTACAAACATTTCCACACAGTGGTCACTAAAATATCACATTTGAGTTTCTTCAACCTTTATGTCTCAAGAGTTGAATTTTATTAAAACTACTCCTAATAGATTTTAATCGTTTTCTTACAAACCATATTGGAAAGCTTTTTACCATGCGTTTATTAATTTTTTCTACCTAAATGCATTTTATGTATAATTTTATTGATTTGCAATTTTATGCACACAGATGTCCAATCAAAAATATGATTTATTTTTAGACACATATAAAATAAACAAACTATTTCAAACGATATGGTATGGAGATTATTTTCATTAAAATCTTTTACACAAATTACGTCCTGAAGCTGTGGCGTCATCACAATCAACAAGTTTTCCAATATTTAAGTTTGTTCAAAAGTTTGTACTCGTTTAATTTACCAGAGACAACAACAGTGTCAGTAGAGAACTGGAGATGAAATATGACATGTGATGAAAATAAAGAAAAACCAAGGTAAATATCTTTTGTGAACAGAATACTTTTTATTGAGTATCAAGTTGTAATTTTGTTTATTTGAAATACATAAAATGCCATAGGCCTATTTATATTTTGACAGTGACATGACAGTGGGTAATGCCAAGTTATAAGAATTTTAACGTCGCAACAATAACTTTAGTGACTATGACAAACTGGCGGAAATTATGTAAATATTATGTTTTTAAAACAAAGTAACAGAATACTGATTTTTTTTTTTTTTGTGACTTCCTACCTGCTGCACAAGAAGACATGATGCACAATAATACGAGGTATAAGCAGTGTTGGGAAGGTTACTTTGGAAATGTAATAGGTTACAGATTACAAGTTACCCTATTTAAAATGTAATAGTAGTGTAACTTTTTCAATTACTTTATTAAAGTAATGTAACTGATTACTTTTGATTACTTTTTGATTACTTTTCTACATTTCTAATGAATGTTTATTTGCAACTGTTAATCATTTTCAAACATTTACACCATGCAGGGTTAACCTTACAGTAGTGCTCAACACTGTCAGACTTTCACAATCCTTCATCATTTGAATTAAGATGATCACATTTGAACACATCCACCACAAAATCAGACTTTAGTACCACCTTTTACTTTGAGATTGATCTGAAGTTCAATGCAGATTTAAAATCATAAGAAATAGTTAATAGATAAGAATAACGCCGTTACATGTAACTAGTTACTCCCCAACACTGGGTATAAGGTTTCCCAAGAGATCATCATGATAAATAAAAAAAGATGTGGTGGACGGGTTCTTGTCCAGGGTCTGATTTATCAAACTATAAACACAATAAGAACATTCAATTTCATCTAAAAACAAGAGAACTGTCAACAATAACACTGCAAATTTCAGTCATTCAGTGCCCTCTACGCGTCGACGAAGCTCGTTGAAAAGTGTCTATTGCCATCTATTGGTTTGGAAGACGAATTAACAGCATAGTTTCCCCCCCCCCCCC